CGCAAGTAGAAGAGGGGTACTAGGGGACGAGAGCTGAGGAAGCGTTGTTCTAATTCAGCCATAAAAATGTTGGCATACTGTGGGGCCATGCGGGTACCCATAGCAGTGCCACTGACTTGAAGGTATAAGTTGTCCCCAAATCTGAAATGGTTGTGGGTGAGGACAAAGTCACAAAGCTCAGCCACCAGGCGTGCTTTGGCCTCATCAGGGATACTGTTCCTGACAGCTTGTAGTCCATCCTCATGTGAAATATTGGTGTAAAGTGCTTCTACATCCATGGTGGCCAGGATGGTGTTTTCAGGAAGATCACCAAAGCATTGTAGTTTCCTCAGGAAGTCGGTGGTGTCTTGAAGATAGCTGGGAGTGCTGGTAGCGTAGGGTCGGAGGAGAGAGTCCAAATAGCCAGATAATCCTGCTGTAAGAGTGCCAATGCCTGATATGATGGGGCGTCCAGCGTTTCCAGGTTTATGGATCTTGGGTAGCAGATAGAATGAATACCCCTGGTCAGGGCTCTGGGGGTGTGTCCATGTAGATTTGTTCCCGTGCTGTAGCCAGGAGGAGGTGTGCGTTTAATTAATTTATTTTCCCCAAATTATTATTTCTTTAGATTGTAATAGTGCCTCAAATGTGCTAGGGACTTTCCAAAGGCAGGGGAAGACCCAATCCCTGCCCCGAAGAATGTACAGTCTAAAACAGGGGTTCTCAAACAGGAGGTCGCCACCCCTCAGGGAGTCACGAGGTTATTACATGGTGGGTTGCCAGCTGTCAGCCTCTACCCCAAACCCCGCTTTGCCTCCAGCATTTATAATGGTATTAGATATATTTAAAAGTGTTTTTAATTTATAAGGGGGGGGGGGCTCGCACTCAGAGGGTCACCTTTGTGAAAAGGGTCACCTTTTGAGAACCACTGGTCTAAACAGCCAAAGCAAGAGGCTGGAACTGGTGTTTTCCATAGCTCCTGCTGCCCCTGTCACTACTTCAGGTGGCCATGAGGCGGGCGAAGCAGGGGAGCAGGACTCATGTTACGTTGCTAGGTTTACCACTGGGTGAACTTGAGCCACGCTCTTGGCCTCCCTTCCCCACCGACCTCGGGCAGGGCAGGGCTGGGGCCGGGTCGGGGAGGTGACTCTGGCTTGCAGCAGCCTCGCTCTGGGAGACCCCGGGGTGAAAAGTGCGAGCTAGAGGAGCCAGGCTGGTTAATGAGCCGCCGTAGCAGACAGCGAGCGAGGGGAGAGCGGCGCCCGCCCGCCCGCGCAGGGCCAGGAACCTTCGCCTCCCCATCCGCTCCCCCCGTCACCCGGGCGGCGCCCTGCGGGCTGCTCGGCCCGTCTCCCCGCGCCTCCGCCCAGGGGCCCAACAGCGCCCGAGCCGCGCCCCCAGGCCCTGCCGCGCTGCTGTCCCCGGGGCTGCCGCTCCTCCCTCCCCCGCCCCTGAGCTCCTATGGCAACCGGCCGGCGCGTCCCGCAGCCGGGCTGGGCGCGGCCGGCAGAGGCGGCGGCATGAGGGAGGCGGCCGGGGAGCAGCAGCAGCAGGAGCCGGCGCCCGGGGAAGCGGGAAACAGCGTCTGTGCGGAGCCGGCGGGGAGCGGCCACTGCAGCCAGCCCTGTGAGTGATGGGGTCGCCCCGCCACCCCCGGCCTTGGGGTCCCATGGCCTCGCCACGCTGCCCTGGAGCGTCCCGGCCCCCGTCCGTCCCCCTGCAGGGGCCCTGCCCTGGGGTCCCAGCTCCCATCCATCCGTAGCCCGGGGGTCCCAGCTCCCATCCACCCCCCTGCAGGGGCATTGCCCTGCCCTGCCCTGGGGTCCCAGCTCCCATCCACCCCAGCCCTGGGGTCCCAGCTCCCATCTATCCCCCTGCAGGGGCACTGCCCTGCCCTGGGATCCCAGCTCCCATCCACCCCCCTACAGGGGCACTGCCCTGCTGTCATGTCTCATCTCCCCATCCATCCCCCAGAAGGGCTGCTGCCCTGCCCACCACTGTGGTCACATGCCTCATTCATCCTCCCTGCAAAGGGCACTGTCCTGCCCCAGAATCCCATCTCACTATCCATCCCCCTTCAAGTGGGACTGCCCTGCCGTGGGGGTCCCATCTCCCCATCCATTCCCCAGTAGTTGGCACTGGTGGTGTCACCCCAGCCCTCTCCTGTGTGTGTGTGTGGGTGGGGGGGTGTCTCACCCCATCTCCAGTCCTCATTGTGGGTGACACTGCCTCCCCATGGGTTCCAAACACCCCATCACTCTCCAGGAATCACTATCCTTTCCCTAGTGTAGTAGTTCTCAACCTTTGATCCATGAACCCCTGATGGTCCACAGACTATGTTTAAGGATTCCATGAATGACTTAGACTGAAAAGTGACTGAATCTGTTCAACTATATGTACAGACAATAGATTTTCAAAGGGGTCCCAACCTCCATTTGAAATATTTAGGGATCCGCACATGAAAAAAGATTGAAGACCACTATCCTAGTGGTCTCCCCCCTTCCCAGCTCATCCTTTCCTGCAGTGCCTTTCCTTGGGGGAGTCTCCCCACATCTCCCTGAAGGTCACCACACTATTCCTGTGTAGTCTCTCCTGCCCCTTAACCCTTCCTCCTATGGGTCTTTTCCTACCCCATCCCCACCCTGTAGTGAACAGTAGCTTTCCCCAGCAAGTCTCAGACATCCCCACCCTGCCGAGGACACTGTCTTTTCCTTGGGCAGGGGTGTGACCTGTCCATTTATGCTGGGTATCTCAGTGGGCTCCATCCCCCTGCACTGCCATTCCCCTGGGTTCTTCATGTGCTGGAACAACATCATGGGGTCATGGTACATGTACGCTGCAAATGGCAGCCCGTGACAGCAAGTCTCCGAGCCCAGATCTACAGACTGGATCGTCGAGTGCTAAAAATAATTGCAGCTCACTCAGACCCTGGGGAGCAAACAGGGGTAGGGGCTCTAGCACAAGCTGCAATGTCTACACAGCTGTTTTTAGCATTGTAGCATGAGCCTCACGAGCCTGAGTCTGTAGATCCCGGACTTCAAGAATCGCTGCCACAGGCTGCTGTTTGCAATGTAGATATACTGTACCATAGTCTCAAAAGTTGCAGTGCCATGTCACGGTGGTTCAGTGAATCCACAGCACAGTCTTGCACTTTCTGAACCCTGCAAAGGTTTGCAGACAGTTCCCCTATGGCCATAATATTGGGAGCCACAGTACCACCCAAGCTTGGAATATCTGGGCCTGACTGCATACCACTGGATATCTCTAAATGATGAGAAGTGGGAAGGGGTATTAAAAACACCAGTAGAGCAGGATCAAACAAGATGTACATTGACAGTTTGGGGCTTTAAAGTAACCAATTTTTTGCAATATGTTTTGCAAACAGGGAAGAAATTTGTATATGTTGAGCCACCTAAGAGAGTTAAGGAAGTACTTGAAGAAGAGCTTTATTTTCGGAGAGATGGATGCCAAATTAAACATCCAGCTGCAGGTAATCTCTATAGTCAGAAAATGAGAAGTGTTTGTTTGGGAAATGGAATCTAAAATGCTGATGAGAGAGTATGCTGAAAACCGGGTCAGTTCATTAAAGCAAAACCATGATGTTGATTATCATCCTTATGGGAATGTACAGAACTTGGAGAAATCCTTATGGCCCGTTATTTGTTTCATCATTCTAAAACTTGGGGAACATACAGAGCACATAGAAGTCCAAGCAATTCATCAGCTTGACATTATAGCAATGTAGAACCTGGAAAAGACCATGTGGTTCAGTAATCTGATATTTATCAAATTTTCTTATCGCAAATATACCTGTTACCTTCTTGACACCATTGCACAGAGAAAATAGCTCTTTATCTTTATTTCTTGAGTTCAGCATATTTCTAACTCCATATTTTATTAAATTAAATTGCAGCCACTGAGACCATGGATTTAGGAACTTGTCTGATTTGCTTGTGGTCATTCAAGAGGTTTATGCTACTCTTGAATTCCCATTTGACGTGTAATCGCAAGGGGCAGAAGAGTGTTTTAAAATATGACACCTAGACTACAAGAGGTAAAGAGATCTCTGCTTCCCAGTCAGCTCTGCAACTTGCCATTTGGGATATAAATGTTATTTTTAATGTATCGGTTTCCAGGACATTTCAGTCTTTCCATTGAGCAAATCAGACTGCTACAGAACCAGGATCTGCAGCAACTTTTTAGTGCTTGCATGGTCCCAAGGGTACTTTCTGGATAAGACCCAGAGTGAGTTTAAATAAATCCTATACCAGGTCTCAAAACATACCTTGAGTATCATTTTGTTCAATTAATATGCTCCAGTCTATACCTAGTTAAAATCATTTTAAGAACATATGATCCGTCTGTTTTTAAGTCACATGTTCAAAAACATATCCTTGTGGCTATTTTATTCTTTAAGATCTCTCCAGTCTTGATTTGTGTCTGCCTGAATCTATTAACAGAGTTTCCCAAATCCCATCATTTGAAACTAAAATTGTCCTGCACAAACAAGGCTACTGTTTCTTCTGTAGCATCCTGTCTAATGATTGTATATCACATAAAGAGGGTGCTTCTGTAATAGTCATTTTCTGGATAGGTTTCACTTATGCTACTGTTATACTGTACTTTTCCTTTTGATATATGACTTGGTTTTGTAGGATTAGATTTTTATCCGTAAATGTTGATTGCACTGTACATACAGAAACTGATAAAAAATATTTCCATTAATAATAAGCAAAATTTACCTATAGGCAAAGTAAGATAATGGTGTTAAAGAACTTATTAGAGCTTGATTTAAGAATATGTACTTTGATTATTTTGATATACGATGTTGACAATTTTGTCTTTTAACACCTATAAAGTAGGGCTGTCAAACGATTAAAAAAAAATTGCAATTAATCACAAGATTAAAAAATAGTTACAATTAAGTGCAGTTTTAATCACACTGTTAAACAATAATCAAATACCAATTTAAATTTATTATAAATATATTTGGATGTTTTTCTTCATTTTCAAATAATATTGTTTTCAATTATAACACAGAATACAAAGTGTACAGTCAGGGCCATCCTTACCCATATGCAAACTACGCAGCTGCATAGGGCACCAGGAAATTTGGGACCCAGGATTTCCTGCAACTGTAAAAATGCAAATCAGTAAAAATAAAAACATGGTTAAAAACAAATATTGATATTATCCATCAAAATTATTTAAAAAAAAATCTAATTCTGCCAAGCTTGTATGTGACCAAAAGCTAAATTCAGAGGTAAGTCTAAGAAGTATTTTCCATCTTCCCACTCCTCTAGATTCACTGTAACACAGGTTTTATCTTCACTGCAAAAAAGGTGTGTTTTTTACACTGAGAAAACTATGAGACATGACATAGGTAGTTTTACCTATAGCTATACCAATATAGCTACTCAAGTCCCTTGGGAACTAGCTATATTGAGTTAAAAACTACTAGGATTTTACACTCATGGCTATCGCAGCATAAAAACACAACCTTTTTTCCAGTAAAGACATGGGAGGCTATGTTTTCAACTCTCCTACCATACAGTTTGGTTGCTAAACATTAATCTTGTGTGTTCCCAATATACCCTAAATTCCCTTTCTGTGAAGAACAACCATACTTCCTCCACCCGGAATGGAGGCTTTTGGGCAAGAGTTCCTGACTCCTACCAAGTCCTTATTATTATGCAACATTACAATGGTCTGTGGACAAAGAGAGTGAGACCACTAATTTGCAGACTCAAGATCCAATCTTGCATTTCTTGCATACATACCCAATGTTCCTATTGAAGTCAGAATGAGTTTCGAGTGGGCTAGGAAGGCAAGTTTTTGCCCTCCAGGCATGAAAGTTTAAGAAGATCCATACTAATATACCAGATTGGGAATAAGGAAGGAGGGTGTTTGGCAGAAATCACTGAAACATTCTTGGAACATTTTGTTAGCTGATGTCACTAACTGGCTTTTAATTATTAAATTGCTTTCGAAATCTCAATTGACAACACTGAAAGGCATCTCAGCATATTTTTTTGTTGCTTGTTTAATTATTGTTTAACCTTTATATTACAGTTGTTTCATGACTATGAATTCCTACAGCTAAGCCCAGCAGATCTGACTGGTAGCTGATGTGAAGGATTATTGGTAAATGAAGCTTAAAACAGTTCCTTTTTGCAATCTGTTCTCTCAGGCTGTTTTTTTCCTGCCCAATGGGCAATTGCAGATTTGGCAAAACTCACAATGAATGCAAGAGCAGTTTCTAGAAGGTGAATGAATCTGCACCTACAGGACTTTGAGTCACCACATAATAAATATAAACCTCTTTATTGTTCTTCCACATTTTTACTTAATCCTTTTCAATGCCTCGTTTAACCTGCCTTTTATACATTAGTGAGATTTTGAATGTTTTCCGTCTAACTGTGAGAATCACACTGTCATCTAGCAATATTGTTGTCTAGCTGTGAAATGTTAGGTAGCATAAAATCATTGATGTTCGAGACGGAAAAGGCCATGTAGGTCATTCAGCCCATCTCCCCGCAGGTGCAAAATTGTACCTACAGTACATTTTAATCAAACATTTGCACAAACATTAAAACCAATGTGTTATTTTTGTTTGTTTTAAATGTTAGTTTTAAAATTATTTGATGAATCTCTCATACCTACTTAGTTCATCCAGGAAGTCTGCTTTTACAGCATATCTACCAGGTCCATCCATTCATTCTGTAATGGAATCCATATATAAAGTGTATATGACACATTCGCTTCCCTTATGTAAATGGTTGTTTGAACAAACACATTAATGAGGTATCTGTCTGATTCCGCAACAGGCAGGGGCTAGTAAAATGCATTTAAATCCGCACAAGACCATTAGAGGATCTGATCCAGGAAAGTACTGAGAGTTCTCAACTACGAATGCACAGTATAACATGGGACTGGGTCCTTAGCTTTTAATAGGCTTATACAGTTAATTGTAATAGTGTCTTGATCCTCATACATAGTATCACAAAAGGCTTTTTCTTTAATCATTACAACATGCTCTTTAATATCGTCACAGTACTAGGGTAAAATCAGTCTGAATTCCCATTAATAAAACTCTTTCTACATGAGTTATTCCTTTTAAAAAAATCTCTCCAATCTTAAGGAGAGTTGAATTTTCTGTTATTTTAAAATATGCTTGCACCTGAGTTAATGTCAGTCTAAAAACCTTGTTCCTGTCTGCACACTCTCATCCTGATATTTCCTGCAGAAGCTCTTGATTTTTCAGGGGGCTGGATGGGCAATCATCTTTGATAAAAAGATTTTATCTTTAGATGGGAGAAGATATAGAAAGGCTGTTTCTATTGTAACATAAATCACCAGCACACTTGGAATTGAAAGGTACCCTTAATAGGGAGACAAGGTGGGTGAGGTAATATCTTATATTGAACCAACTTCTGTTGGCGAGGTCTGGTCTGTACTACAGACCTATATCAGTATAACTGTATCGCTCAGGGGTATGAAAAATCCACTCCCCTGAGCGACGTAGTTATACTGATTTAACCCTCCGTGTAGACAGCACTATGTCGGTGGGAGAACTTCTCCTGCTGACATAGCTACTGCCTCTTAGGGTGGTGGATTAACTATGCTGACGGGAGAGCTCTCTCCTGTCGGTCTAGAGCATCTTCGTTAAAGTGCTACAGTGGCGCAGCTGCATTCAGTGCAGATGCGCCATTGTAGCGTTTTAAGTGTAGATTTGTCCTGAGAGACAAGCTATCAAGCCGCACGGAACTCTTCTTCAGGTCTGGAAAAGGAACTCCCAGAGTCACAGCAAAAAAGGTGGAATAGAGTGTTTAGCATAGTAGTTAGCCCATAGTATAAGGGACCATTCAAGCTAGAGTGGCCCATTAACACCTCTGCAGTCATAGTATAGGGGTTAGTGGGTTACAGATTGTTGTAATAAGCCATAAATCCAGCAAGGAGTCTGGTGGCACCTTAAAGACTAACAGATTTATTTGGGCATAAGCTTTCGTGGGTAAAAACCTCACTTCTTCGGCTGCATAGAGTGAAAGTTACAGATGCAGGCATTATATACTGACACATGGAGAGCAGGGAGTTACTTCACAAGTGGAGAACCAGTGTTGACAGGGCCAATTCAATCAGGGTGGATGTAGTTCACTCCCACTAATAG